TAGTAAGTACAGAACGTTAAATTTACGTTTAGAAATATCGACTTTATGTGCGTTCTTTAAACATTTTTTTAAATAATATTGTTATGTTATATTTTATAATAATATATTATAAAATATATAATAAATATATAATATATAATAAATATATAATATATGTATATATGTATATATAATATATTTAATATATATAATATATTTTAGTAATATTATATATGCATATGTAAACATTTTTTGATATTTTTTAATATTTTATATATATATGTATATATATATATATAATATTGTATACCATTGCAATAACATCGTAGTAAGTGCTGTATTGTTTACTGAGATGTCATCTTTAAAATATCTGAGATAACTCATTTAGTTGTATGAGAGATATGTTTATAAAAACTCGCACACCGTGTATGCGATTCAAGCGATTCGCCCTTAGGCGGTAACTTATCTCGTGTTAGTATACGCGACTGCGAAATCCAACGTGACTTAATACGGAGGCACCATTTCTCGTCACCTGCCGAGGATGCATCGGTGAAAGGAAGAGAGGGAAACACCATGTTTAATTCATCGAATCGCGCGCTCGGCGAGTACCGGCGCATCTCTAATCCGCCGATAAAAGGCGAGCGAAAGTATCGTGACCTCGACATACGATGGCACCGAATCTCTCGGCGCTGCGCGAAAATCAACGTCGATTATTCATCTGTCGGCTGTCAAAAGTGAAACTAAGCGTCGCGTACGGCTGAAAATTTGGGAGCGACCGTTGAGAAAAGATGCAGCTTTCACAGCTTCCAACGGTTTCCGAAATCACCAGCAGTGCCATCCTCGTGTTCAGGCTCGAGACTTATCAAACGACCCATGTATAGTTAGTATAATTATGAATATAAATTATATACATTTTATTAGTTATAAAAATAAATATATAAATATAAATGATAATTGTAAGTTACGATTATGTGCGTAAAAAAGAGCGCAAATAAAGAGAGTCAAACATCGCCAGTGTGACAACTCGAGAGAGGGAATATTGATCCTCCAATTGCACGTTAATTATTATTTCACATGTGAGAAACGTTCATTGGCTGTGCTTCTGTATGATAAATTATTCAGGCTGCCACAGTTTCGCAACTGCGCAATTAAGCAGCACACTTTGATAGCTAACGTGCATGCGCGATCATCAGTGCGGATAAGACCCTCACCGAGCCAAGTAATTCTTCATCGATAGGGCTTTATCTGCCGATTACCGTTTGCTCAGCCAGTGCATGAAAATAAACAGGCATTAGTAAACACACATATATACACACCCACGCGCGCGCGCGCACAGGATTCGGCGATTTTACGGGACATCTAATTCACAGTGACGAGTTTGTCAAATTATCTATACTTTGAGTTTTTAAGTTTCTCAATTTCTTAACTTCGAGATACATAAACGTATGTTAAATCCAACGAAACCCCAACTACTTGAAACAAATACGCAATAATTCGCGCTGTCACGAAAATACACTGCAATTGTATTAACCTAACTATTCAATACAAAAAAAAGGAAATAGAAAAAATTAAAATAAAAAAATAAAATAAACGTAGTTTCACTAAAATACAATAATTTCCATATTTTCCGGCACGGTTTATGGAATGAAGGAGAGACGTGAGCTCCTCCGTAACCTCGATTTGCCGGAAGTCACTATATAACTATTAATAAATTGGCATATCTCTCTCTGTCCGATTAAATCAGCACGTTATCGTTATTTGCTGACATCGCGATTTTCTATTCGCTGTTGATGTTATCGTCAGTGATCACGAATACGCGTGGGCTCCTTTTAATCACAGAAAGTGCCTATCCCGAGAAGAGCGTGTTTCTCTCAATCAGCCCTTTTCATTCGATGCCAGGAGGAAAAATGAGACGATGACTGACTGCTTTTCTACATTTCCAAATTGCAAAACGAATTCATTGTTGTTTATTTGCCAGAAAAACCGGCAAAACGTCTCATCCGGTCTCTCATGACGTATAACCGACACGTGAGGTCACAATTAATTTAATTCAACGAGCGCATGTTTAATACGAATTAAACCGCATTACGCGATCTTTCAGATCAAAAAAGGCCATTATTGCACACGGTTGCGTTCCCGTATCGCCTATTCTGCCATCTAAAATCCATCGAGGAAATATTTTAACAGAAAGCATGAAAATATCGTATTTATTAGGCGACTCTCGATTATACGTCTCGATAATTCCAAGTTATTAAGTTGAGTCCGACTTATCAAAGTCCGGTTTGGCGCGAGGAGCTCGGACGAGACACAGTAGCTTTCACTGAAAAGGTTAAACGTTTTTATTCCACCATGGCGCTGGATAAAACCCGATAATCTCGGGGAATCACGGAATATCGTGATTTGATTGGGCGATAATATGCTAGAAAGATTGTAGATTGGTGTGAGGCTCGCGAAACATCAGTCCGATATTTCCATCGTTTGCGTTGGGTCGAATAATGCGCGGATAGACGGATAAGCAAAATCGAATCACGCGGGAAATCATGAAAAATGTACCGACGATGAATCTCGATCAGGGTGGTGCGGAAATTCCTCCTTTAGTCAACAATACGCGACGATCAAAGTTTCGACGGTGGTATTTACGAGGTGTCCCGAACCAATCTCGGTTCTCGGGTAGTATGCAAGTAGAACGGGTGAAACTCAGCGGGAAAGTTCAGTATACCATTTTGCAAATAACACGCACGATCATTTCGAGTTATCAATGATTGAAAATGGCCATTATATATAATATATATATATATATATATATATACATCGTCGAGTTTAATAAGGCAGCAAAGCCAGCGGTCGACTTCCGCCACTCTGTATAACTGCGAGAGCAACAGTTGGCGGGGAGTCGGGCAAGTCGGCAGGCGCACTCGCGCCGACGAGAGACGAGCGGGTGCAACGCGGGAGGAAAGCTCGAAAGCGCCGGGATGTGCACGAGAGGGTGGTGCGCGCACGGGAGAGAGAGCGAGACGGACGGGCATGGCTGAGAGGGGGTCGGAAATCGGACATGCGTAAGATATCCAACAGAGAGATACAGAGAGAGAGACGATATATCTCAGGAGGGCAGTCGCGTCGAAACGGCGCTCGATGTTGGTTGGCGCGCGGACCGCGCGGTTTCGAACGACGGAGTTGGCGAGCGTGTTTCGCGCGCGCGTTACGACGAGACGACCGCGATACAAAGTGGAAGCGCGAATGAATTCAAGTTCGCGACAACGGAACTGAAGTCCGGTGGAAGTTGGTACGGGCGAAGGTGTTCGGGCTGGACGGTTAAGTCCCGGTCTACGGTAGATGTTTCTCAGTCTTGAGCCTTAAGAAATTGACCAATCGCAAGTGACGTTTCTTCTATAATTCGACTGTGGTTGGTCAACTGAGTCTTGTGTCCGAAATTCTCACAGTAGACGCCGCTTTGAATTATTCTCTCGGCATTCGATACTGTGATCGGTTAATTCTCTTAAGGTTTAAAGCTTCAGGCAGCTATTGTAGACTAGGACTTAAGGTTCCCTTCCTGTTCAATCTCGCGGCTTAATTTAAAGGAGGCACTCGAAGCGCGCCGCATTGGCAAAGTCCGGCGGTACGTGAACGTCGACGTAGAACGAAAACCGGCCGGAGCGTTTATATATTTCGATATTCCTCTGCATTATTGTTATTCCGTTCTTTCTTCATCTCAGAATATTTCCGCAATATTAAAGAAATATTACATAGCATTCTCGGAATATTGGAATATTGTTTTAATAACGAATCAAATTACGGGGATGATTGCGTTGACGTTCCACGGGAGGTTCGAGACCTCTCGTTAGGTGCCACCTTGACTTTGCCGCCGTAGAACGAGCGGCGTAGAACGCGAATAATAATCCCGGCACAGTTTCCGATCCGTTTCCAGGCGCGTCACGCGCGCGGAAAGCCGATGGATAATTATTACGTTTCTCCCGCTTGTGTGTGTGTGTGTGTAGTCAGTCCATCAGATCGGGGGCTTATCACCGCGACATAAACAGGCGTGTGCCGTCGGCGAATACGCACCGACGACGAGCTGCTGACGTTCCTTGCGACGGATATCTATCTATCTGGAGAGCTTTCGCTGCGACCGCTGTTTTCGAGCTCGAGAGAGCTTCGAGTGCCGCCGGTCGACTCGCGTCTCCTGAATCGCCTCGTCTCGTCGTCGGGTTTACCGTGAAAATCCAAAGGAGCGGACGGAGGGGTGTGCGGCTTGCGATTCGCATCTTTCGGCGACGGAGTGAACGCGAAAGAGAGAGAGAGAGAAAGAGTGGCGAGCGAAAAAGTCAATTGGATAGTCGGTTGGATACGAAAGAACGCGATTCTCTTTTTCTCTCTGTTCTCGTGGAGGAGGATGCTTCCCCATTTGGTGAGTATTTTTTGTATTCTCTATCTCTGTCAGCAAGTAACGTTAATCCGAGAAGATCACGCGCGCGGTTTTTCCTCTACGCATCTACGCTAAATTGTCCTACGCTAAATGCGCGTCGCATCTTCTCTCGTCGTCCCGCACCTCTGTCATCTATTTATACCCTGCAAGCGGTGCAAAAAAGCAACAAAAAAGCAGTCATCCTTGCCGTTTGTTATCGTCGCAGACGTTAATCCGGACACGCGGCTCAATATACGCGAGAACTCGCGAAGAAAAACGCGAACGTTTCGCCGCGACGCGACTAATTCTACGTCTAATCGCGCGCCGAGGTTAATCTCGACACCGTTCGATAGCAGTGCGCCGATTAGCGAAAGGGATATGCTAACTGTTATCCCGCGGTAATACCTGTTATTAATGCACCGCGATAATTGACACGTGTGCGATATTCCTCAGTCAGCCTGAAATCTCCCTGATTTCGGCAATCGCGCGGGAATCGAACCGGGGATTGTTCATACATCCGTCTCCGGCATGTTCCGCCGAAATTCGACGCGAAAATTGCGGTACACTAATTAGCATAATTAGCATAAGCGCGCTTTATAAATAAACATGGACGCTGGCTCTCGTTTTATATCACAATAATCCGAAGGGATAATCATCCGGCGGGATGATAATCTTCTTTGCGTTCTTCTTGTGCCAATTTCGCTTGGACGGAGCGAGAGAGAGAGAGAGAGAGAGAATATGTGTTCAGGAGGAATGAGGCACTATCAAGGAATAAAAATCGCGCTTGGCGATGCAGAAATGAGAGCAACTCGTATTGTGTTATCCGCGGCAGTATCTCGCCCTTAACTATGTCAGGCACGTGATGATGACAAATGTAAACGCGTCGGCAACAGGCAGCTCTCTAAGCTGCTTACGAAAGAACAACCGGGAGGTTTTAGCCGTTTGCTCGATTCGATCTCTGCACTCTGCACGAGGGATGCTGAAGGACGCGATTATCGTCGCGTTCGGCAAATATCAATATCGATGTACGCGCACAGAGTAATCGGAAAGTCCGGACGCGAATATTTCCGGAAGGATGCATTTTTGAGCGACGTTGGTGTGACCTCGAGTAGCGTCGTCAAGGCCACGTGAAGGACATCTTCGATTTCTTATACGAAAATCCCTGCTTTTCGCGGGCTTTTCGAAACGCTGTAACAAAGTACTTTTATGTTAAGTATTTTGCGAGTTATGAAGTACTCTGCAGCACCGCCGGCATCAGCGTTACGCAAGATGTGCCGCGTGAAGGTTGCACGGTCGGATTGACATCTCTTTTGCGTGTATACGGCAGAGATAAGAATTACGAGTCACAGATAACGAACCAAACATAAACAACGGTTGCAATAAACAAGTTTCCTAGTTTGCGAGCGGCTTTGTCCTTTTTCACCGGTTTTATTTGAAATGGACCAAAAAGACAGGGTAATCGAGATAAAGAGACAGGTGGACATCAAGCAAACAATGAGAAATCTGTCACAAGATTTCACCATTCCTTACGCACTTTCCTCCATTATGAGTCGGAATGAAATTTTAACTCAATTCACATTTATGTTCGTTGAGTGATTTAAGAAAAACATCCATATTTTCCCGGGATCTATTATACGAGGTTTCGGAGAATGATTTGCGTAGTAAAAATTCGAACAGGTTTCAGCTGCGATCTCGTACGATCTTCTTTATTATACAACACGTCTTTTTTTTTCTCGTAAAGTTCCATAATGCCCTTTCTGAAAAATTTAGTTAGACCAATGGGGTTGTCGCCGCACCTGAGTGCGTTGTATTTTTCGTCACGTTTTCTTCTATAAGATGTCACAGAACTCTCCCTGTAACGTTCATTTAAATTTCAAGGATTCAATTGTATAAACCAGTATAAAGAAAATGTGTTCCGTGATTTCAACAGCCAGCGTCACGTGTAGGTGAAATAACAAGTTAACTTTGTGATTATGCTCGGTTTTCTGTGAAATATGTGTCTTCTCCGGTTTTATACACTGTAAACATCGTTAACCGGCATTACCTCGAGATCAAATCTCATATTCATTTCGCTTTTTCCTTTATCTCCATGGTATTCATATTTTCATAAATTTTTTTGCATCAGTCCATGTTATGATTAACATCCGTAGGTGTTCATTGCGTTAAACAAATTTTGCTTCCGACATTTCTTACCAAGTTTACGTTCTGCTCAGGTGACCGTCATTAACCCATTTTACCCCAAATTACCCTAAATATTTCATTGCGAGGACAAATTATACAATCCATTTACCGTGTTAAATTTATTGACACGTAAATAATATGTTCGGGTTTGACTTTTGATCGGTAAATTAATTTAATCGGAGCTCGCTGACGACCGAACGTTCAGCTGACTAGGAAGAGTTACGCGGAATAGACCAACCGCGTAAATGTGAATAAATTATCCACATTCAACGATGGTAATAACGATATTATGTGGGTGGGCTCGATTTAGTCTTTGTGTCAGCGAAACCGCTATTTCGTTATGGTCCAGTATGGTTTCATTCATATTCACGAGATGCTGGAGTTACAGTTAATTACTCTCATGTCCGGCCACCTTTGTACTTAGCGAGCGGACGATACGAACGTATCGACCAGTCCGCTCGAATTTGCCGGTTATGAAATTAAAACGATAACTGTATGATTATTAATAATTAATAATAACCGTACGAGAATTCCTCGAACATGCGTATAATTATGCGTGAACGCATTGATTAGAGTCAGAAAAAGATTTTCTCAAATTTAAGCAATTTTATCGCATCCAAGCAAATTTCATCATCGCTCTGAAGAAGCTTAATGTTTCGATTAACAAGTACGATTGTCAGACTTTTCAACGAATATGTATCTTTATCTCAAATAAAAAAATATATTTGAAACGAAAGGTAATTTTCCTGCGAAGAAATTATTTATTTCACTTTATATATTTATTATAATTAAGTAATATTTTGTTTGGTTAAAATATATTATTTCAAATAATAGCGTTCTTTCGGTTAAATAATGGAGTTTTCTTGTGAATGAAAGAATCGAATTTTTCCTCAAATAAATAATATTTCGTACATGTATATGTTGTTTCTGTGAGACAAATTTTCAGTCAAACAAATAGAAATACTGAATCTAAAGAAACCTTTTCCTCTGTGTATTCATTCATGGTAAAAAGCACTTTTCCTGTTGTTTTCTCGCAAATTTATGTGACGGGCTTCACACACGGATAATTAATACGCGGCAATTTTCATCATCGCATTCTTGGTGTCCACTTTCCGCAATTAACTCTCTGTAAAAAGGGCAGTGGAAATACCTGAGAGAGGGAAAGAAAGAGAGAAAGAGAGAGAGAGAGAGAGAGAGATTACGCTTACTTTCCTTCTAATCTCTCTACAATATTTTTATTCTTAAATTTATCAGGAATGTATTTTAAATTAAACTGTAACATCGAGAAACACCGATCTCCGGTACAAAATATTCACATTAATCAATACAATTTTACCGTACAATATTAAAATTTTCGCTAAACTTTCTAAATATTAATTAACAATATGAAAATTTCACACTACGGCGAAACTCTCCATCCGTGTTCAGTGAGGCAGACAATTAAATCACTTCGCCGATTGTCGTGAAAAATCAATACGCCAATTAAGAATCTTAAAGCATGGCTGCTCCGTCCGTTCGCTCGCGCGCGGCGGGCAAGCCGATTAAATTGAAAAAGAAACGAAAAAAAAAGCCAAAGAAGAAGATCGCGACGAAAATACAAACGCGGCGGCGCCCCGGCGACTCTGTCGCCAGAGGACGCAAACCGTAAATAATAAATTCGCGATGAATTTAAATGGCCGGGCCGACGCAAATCGCAAATGATCACGCTCCATTGCCTGCCCGTGTTTCCTGTATTCCGAAAAGGATTCATGGATGTTAATGTCGGCGCAGATTCGATAATTCCCCCGGGAGCGATGCAGGCTAACATATGCCCGATACAAGGCAACACTCGTTCGACGGCTCGGAGATTCGAATTCAATAAAACGGCACACACACCGTCATACACGCACGATCGCAATCCGCGTCTGCCGATCGCAAGCACACGCGCGTAATTGAATTACGTTAGCTTTGCGCGCGCGAGTGTGGCGTAAAGCTGCCCGAAATTTCCGCTGCCACTTTCTCGCATGCGATCGCATTCCGCGCGAAAAACATTGCGCGCCTTGCGTTTGGCTCCTCGCGTATGTACCGATTTAGAAGAGAAGAAGACGCGCGTCATCGATAGGACGTCGGAAATTACGTACGTGAGATCCATTTTTTGCCGCCGCCGACGCTGAAATATTGCGGTCGGAAGAAAGTGTGACGAGAGAGATGTGTGAGTGTGTGTGTGTATATGTGCGTGCACTTGTTTCGCGCGTGCAGCGCGCGGCCTTTTCCAATGCCAACCTTCCGGCGCCCCGTGGCGAGAGAGAGAGAGAGAGAGAGAGAAAGAACGAGAGAGGGAGAGAGAGAGGCGACGGGTTGCACGGCGTTAAAATACATACGTAACGATAACTAATAGCACAAAAGAGCCGCGTCCGAAATAGCAACGCGTGACATGCACATTTTCCATGTATTATTTTTGCAACGATTCACGACGCGCATGTTCTGTGCGAGATTAACGCACAAACGTGGCAATATATAATTAATATTTATGTGCCCCGGATATATATATACATATATATACATATATTAGCGGAAGCGACGCAGTCACAGATACAGAGCGGCAAAAGCGGGAGAGGGAAGCCGGGATCGCGCGGACGTTAAAATACGCGATGGAACATGTGCAGTGTGCTTGTGCGAGACGCGCAAATAGAATTTATAACAGTCAGTACGACACGTTGCAGAATAAAAATTTATCGGCATTCTGTTAACCCGGGAATGGTAATCTTATTTAGTTTTCTTTTTTAAGCGAACGGTGTCACTCGGGGTCGTTTTGTACCCCAGTGTGTTTTTACAGGCTTACA